CTAAAGAATGTTGTTTGAGTCACATAATGCGGTAAGTCTATGCGCACCTTCCTTAGATAAGAATAATCTGTCCGTATTTGCTAAAGAAACTAAATTACGAAAACAATGCGGCAAAACTTATCATTTTCAACTTATCTAGTAATACTGAAAAATGTGCGTCAAAACGTTTAACGTGCGTCAGAAGATACAACATTATTTATTTTTATCTATAAAGTCGTCCTATAATATTCCGGATTAATAATGATAACAGATTTATAATCATTTACAATAATCTATAATTAGTTAAAAAGTCGATTAAATTAGCTTCTATACCGTAACGAATGCAATTCTTTTGCACTTTAATAATAATAATAATTTTATTATATGCTCTAATCGGGAGAAGAATGAAGTCACGTATAGATTTTCTTCTGTTCAGTTTAGTTAAGACCAAGTTTGTTTGAAAAACGAAAAGATTCAATCGATTGAATGAAAACGTAGATATATGTAGGTACCTACCTGTCAGTGGATCGGATACAAAAGATCAATAACTAAATATAGTGTGGCATATGAAACCGTTAGATAGACAGATTGACTCTGCTTTGTTTAGTCTCTGTATTGTTTGAACTCTGCTATTTTAGTTTGCGCCGATTCCGTTGGATAAAGTTTACAATACGTAGAGCAAAGCGATTAAATTTCAGTTACTTTTCGTGCACTAGATTCGATGCTCTTCCGTGTTTTCATACAGTATTAGGCATGTTGTTAACTATATTTTTGTATATTGGCAACATTGTGACATTTGGATGTACCTATTTAAAAATAGTTATTTATAGTTGGAACATTTGTTCTCTAAGTATCTTCATGCCGTAACACTGTTTTCAGGTAAGTCTTATAAAAAGCTAAGTAAATATCAGCTGACGTTTATTAGATATCAAGTTGATAAGGATCTAAAAATGTTCTACTTGTATTTACGAATTTATCAGGGCACTGCGGATAAAAGAAAATACTTAGGTTGTTATATTTTCTTGATAGCAAATTAAATCTTTTTTCGTGACTTTGAGTTTACAACGACTTGGTATATCTGTAAATATCACATCATGTGCTGAGTAAAGGTTTTTCTCCCACGGAGAATCAGAATCATATCATGATTAGTGATTGGAAACTGATAATTAGAAATCATAAGTCCAGGTTTCCTCAAAATGTTTTTATTTAGCATTCGTTAGTGGTGTCTCAATCTCAATGCTCTTAGAAAATATAAATAACTTAGGAAAAGTCACATTGGTACTTGCCAGGTTAGGAACAACAACAACAATCACAGTGCCGATGTTCAGCCGAGGTTGCGGGGCAAGCGCAATAAGGTAAAGCGGCTTCGGCCTCGAGCAGATGAAGGAACGGGGTGGATTTAATCAGTAAGAAACTGAAACGGTCTCGCCTCACCTGGACGAGGGAAGCCATTTGATGATATTCTCCTTTCAAAAAAATCTGTAGGAAAAAACCTCATGTATGAAAAGTCTTGATCTCCGGGCCAAGACGACGCGTAGATATCATAAGTTCGAGTTAGATTTGCTAACACGTTTGTAGGTATGTTGGTATTATTTCATTAAACATCATAAATAAAAAAAGTTAGCCTAACATCAATTCGCAGTTCTTTCGAGGTACTAGCTCCGACAATTTTCTGAACAGCTTTGCACAATGGACAATATCTTTCATAACGTTGTTACAGGCGTCACTTGTGACTGTTCCCGAAAATTCTTTCATCAAAAGAGTATGCCACGTCGGCGCTAAATTAAATTGTGTACACCTCGTTTACACCCTACCGTACCTAGTGTGTCCCTGGACGATTTTTCTAGTATACCGAAACTGATGGAAACTTTATGTCGTGTTGTGAGCTAACAAAATCAGCCTGGAGCTTTTTTTAGTAAATTGTCTTAGTTTCTGAAACAATGAAGTAATTAATATAAAAAAAAATATTTAATATGAATTAGTGAAATTATGATATTTAGTAAGTATTTGACGTCATTGAGACTTATCGCAAAGTTTTATCATTTTTAAGTTTGTAGATATGTACTAAGTTTTTCCTCTTACTTTTAATAAGAAAATAGATTTTGCTTGGCCCATGATACCAGAGTCAAACTAGATCGTTATGACAAAATCAATTAGATCCCATCAGTAAGCTTTACGTGAAAGAGTAACAATCATCATCATTATGGTATTAATAGCTTTACATGCAACGCAAGGAAACTGGCATACATCAGTCCTTAAATTCCTAATCATTAAAAGGCCGGAAAAACTGGTGTCCATGATGCTTAACATCAAATTACGGGTTTGACCGATAACATAAAAAAGTATCTGTCAACAGTTTGTTTTTCTAGTTTTACTACAATTACCTCAACAGATTAAGCAAAGCTAAGGTGTCTATTTTAAAAATCGTTTTTAGATCTATGTAGGTATACGTTTTACTTAATATTTTAAATGAGGATACTGTTTTAGGTTTCATAAATACCCAAACTTCACAAAGAACAACCGCTGCACACAAGATAATGTATGCGAAAAAGGTTTTAATGTTAGAATTCTATTTTTGTCATAGTGCCTTTATATCCGCAACCCTTTTTCGCAGAAACAGAATTGGCATAACACTTCGCAAGCCTTGTTTAGATTAGACAATGAAATAATCACCCGTCTTTTATGTTTACCGTGTATTTTGGGATACATCAACATTATCTAAGGCATGGCTGTTTTATATCGTTCTCTCGCCTTGAACAGTTCAATTGTCTTCCTATTGACCGTAAATCATGTATCTCCAGTCGTTTCATTATATAAACTTTTTGACAGTTGATGTCAAAATTGAGAAATTGCGATTTTTTATACACCTGGCGATTTTTGGCTAACGTAAACAAACTAGTAGGTTTGTGTATGAGTTTCTGAAATTGGTTATTGAATAGTTAAGTATTGTTCGTTACCGTCGTTGCTATCACCATTCCGTTTTTATTTCTATTCATTGCTAGATAGAGACCAATCTCTGGGGCACGCTTGTACTAATTATTTATTAAATTCTACAATTATTAGGACTCAGGTTGCACTTAGTATGTATTTAGTTACAAAGCATTTATAATCATTACAATTTAATCGTTAACCAAAATGCTCATATAGACTCGATTACCAAACATATAGCCCTAAGCTCAATGGTTAAATTGAGCCAAATTGGATTGCAACTGCTCAATGGAATCAATATTTAGATTTATGCTTCTTGTGTAGTACAGAGGTACTGAACAATCCTTGCGTTTTGTTTCGTGTAGTGTAAGTAAAGGCTAAATCCTCTCCCTCCCCTCAACTGTAATCTCAAATCCCCAATTCTTAATTCGCCAGCTCCTAAACTTAACCTAAAACCGGCAACACACCTTTAGTTCGGTGGGTGTCCATAATGGGAGAAATCGATTGCTAGCTATCAGATAAACAGTTTGATCTTTTGTCGTTGTATCACATATAAAAAACGAAGTGTTAAATCAATAAAGATATTTCACAAAAATTCTAACAAAATCTTTAAGAAAAAGGTCTGATGTTATAATAAAATGTCTGATAAGGCTTTACGTGGCTTCAGCCTTGTTAATTAATTCCACTGCATATTTACATTTTTATTAATAAAAAAAGATATGTAGGTATTATACGTAGGTTTCACGTGATAAAAATGTAAAGTGATATACATACATATCTTGGTAGTTTTCCTTATTTCTGATAAAGAACTGATTATATACTAATAAGACGACTAATTAGATTTATTACATAACACTGCTTACCTTGCCATAAAAAAAAAACAGTTAAAAAGTATGTGTCGTTGACGTCTAATTCAACCTGCACTTTATATGACGTTAAATATGTTTCGATCTATAACTGCTTAATGTTATTAGGAAGAATGTTGGTAAAATAAATTTAAATAATATTTTCCCGCCCTCTGAAACTAACCTAGGATCCAATAAAAGCGAATTTAGCAGTTTTCTTATACCTACCAATACTTACATATTACGTAAGCGACGAAAGTAACGCAAAAATCGTCTAATCCTTTAATAAAATGTGTAGCAATATGACTCGCTTAAGTACTTTAAACTCTGCCTATCTCTTTATGATAGGGGCGCTAAAGCTATAAACTTACTACGATATTTTTTTGTCAAAAATGGTTGTAATTTCATAAAAAGTTTTATCTGCAGTTAAAAATAAACTGGGTAATTAGATTTTTATCTTAACTCGAGTTTAATATGTTAAGCGATCATACCGAATAAATGAACGTAAACAATATTTTTAATCGTTTTTCATGTTACCTTTGGCTTCAATATTATTTTGCTGACTTTCGAATTGCCGGGCGCTGCCATTGTGTACCTACATAGACTTATTGCATAATATCTACACTACGGTTGTGACCGTACCAAATATAAAAGTGACTGACTCCGCTACTCGTACTCAAGAAACCACATTTCTTTTGAAATCGATCGGTTAACCGAACCGATACAAGCGCAGGGCTTGTCATTCACTGACGTCGTACCCGCGGCCTGACTGACGCATGCGCGTCTGGCTAACGTCTATCCCGTACGGATATAGATGAGTGTTGGCTTGTACATATTTTCGTAGTGCGCTGAGATCTTTTCATCGTGGCCGCATTACTTTATTGCCAGAATTCACGTTCGAACGGTTATCTCATTTTGTCGCATCGTAATATAGATAACGTTGACGTTGGTATAATATTTTATCAATTATGTGATAGCGGTACAGCTACTATTCATATTATATAAATGAAAATTAAATTGCGACAGAAGCATGTAGCGTTTAGCCGAATGTCGTGTAGTGTATGGGGCGCATGGATAATCGTGAAGGATCGTGTGTGGTGCCCTCATCACTGATGAGGGCACCGCGCGATCCGAGTCCGCTCTACTGACTGATGAGTCATCAGTCAGTAGAGCGGACTCGGATCGCGCGGACGCGCGGCGTGTCGGTGCTTGTAGTTTTTTAGTTTGACAGTTGGCGCGTTTTTCGTTTTGGTTCAACTTGATAATTCTTGTGGAAATCATAGATTTTAAGTTAGTGTAATCTGTGTATTTTCTGTTGATTTTAAGTGTACGACTATTCCTTTGTGAATTTTCCACGCCGGCTGTGAATTGAGTGGTTGCACGCCCTGTGTACCTGCTCTCGTCGTGTTGTGCAGAATTTTGTGATTTCTCCTTCGGAAATTGTTTTGTGGACAAATTGCACCCGCTGCCGGGAACGAACTAAGGTGAGTGACACACTTTGCCGGTACATGGTGCAGATTATAAACTTTCTAGTCCGAGGAATGCAAGTGTTTTCAGCTAATACGAATTTAGGGCGTAGAATTTCTCTGTGGACTCGAGTAACGGGTTCCAAATATAGCAAATCAAGTTTATTCCGAGCCCATAAACGCTTGAATAGGTAGTTAGATGTTTATAGGTTGTTGGAATTAGTGATTTTTCCTTGGTGGCCGGGCTGAGACGATCCAGACAGCTGAGTGTGCGTAACGGGTAAAAATAAACACGGGCATTATCGGCCGGTAGACAAATCGGCTTTACTGAGGACAACGCGTTATTATTAGTGCATATTATACAATACTGTGGTAGGTGAGGTTATGTGCAAAAAGGTTCAAGGCTATTTACGTACAGTTGCATCAAAGCCCCGGTAATTTACACGTGACGAGTAAGTAGCTATTAGTGATAAGAATTAAATAGGTACCTAACATCTGCTAACAGAGATAATATGTTATTGAGGTGAATATTGTAGCTAAGTTGTGTTTAAATAAGTTTAGTGAGTCCGCACTAAAAGTAATTTGTTGTGTGCAACCAGTGTTCTCAGCACTCAATGTTCAGTGCATTCCATATTTAAATAACTAGGCAGAGCTATAAACATAAACCTGTAGACTCACACATTCTGCCTTGAAAATAGAATTTGTAGATAAGTACAACTCTATAAGACCAATAATAACATATCTAATTAGATAACATGTCAGTCTAGAAATGGTTATCAGTTGAAAACTAAAAAATAATCGCAATGTAAAATCTTCCCTACTTGACAACAACTAAGTAAAAAAAAACTACCTCATTTTCCTTAGTAAAATTATGTTACTATGACATTTCCGAAAAATTACTTAGCATTTATCTATCTATCTAATCTACTAAAATATAATTTCTTAATAAATCCTTAAGATTTAGAAACACAGATTAGTTTAACTTATCACATATTATAATCTTACCAGAAACTACCTATGTGTGAGTATAATATTCCGACAATATTTCATAAACCATTTTTAAAATTAGAATGTTTTCTATTCATTCTCTCAAATCATTGAAAAAAGAAAAATGTTATACTTAATAAGAGAATTAGGAAAATACTAAACAGTAGGTAAACACTTTGTAAATATATTTTCACAATATTTTAGTAAAGTTTAAAGAAGGTACATTTGTCCTTAAATAGTAAAAAAGTAAGTATGTTAAGTTAAATTATCTAATGAATTCATTACAATTAAAATTTTTGTATAAGTCTATGGTTCAACATGCCAGATAAGGACAAACCTCTGATAAATTTTTAAATTTTAGAAGAATGTGTATTTATTCCGTAATGTAATTTTGTAATTCATCATCATCTCCAAACCTATAAGTGCCCTCTGTTGAGCAAAGAGTTCTTCTCACTAGAAGTCAGACCCTCTCTACCTACCTGATTAAAGGTGGATTGGCAATTTTAAAACTTAAAAAAGACTAGGTCTCCTCAAGATATTTTCCTTCATCGTATGACAGTGCTGTCTAAATAAGCATAAAAACTACATAATAAAACTGCTACTGGAGACAGCCCATTAGAACTTATTACATATATTTCCCCTATTGCATGAGAATGACACCTTAACTGTTTGGCCACCACAAAAATGTATTAAAGTTACAAGAGACATTCCGTTAGGCATTAACCAGTGGTTTGTCGGAATACAGATCTAAGTGAGACACGATGCACATTGTATTGGTATCATCTGTAAATGCAGTGACAATTGCCATTCTTGACTTGGTAATTATTTGTGTGAAATATTCAGAAAAAACCAGTACTGAATTTAGTTTAATTATATTTGCATGTATACCCTTTAACATATTATAATTGTAATCAAAATGTGTGTAATACAATATTTAATTTAGAAATAGGTCTTAGTGTAGAGAATATAAAACTTACATTAGATTGGCAAATTCATAATTTGTATGTAACTGATTCTTCCATTGTTTTAAGTACACCTTTGCCTAAGCCATCAGGCATTAGAAAGCATTATGCATGTAAAATCTACTGAAGTACCCCTTAATAACTTCAAATAAATTGATAAGGCAAAACTCATATTTATTTAATAAGATTCTAATTTGTATTTGAAAACAATTACTATGCGTTAAATATGATTTCATAATTTATTTTTGCCATTTAAGCTAGCTATGATAATACTGTGCCTGTAAATTTAGCTTTCAGGTAAATATTAATTATTTATTTTAAGGTCATTGTCACACTATCAGACTTTTGTGTCCAGCAGAGAACACTAATGGGATGTTGATAAGTTTTTTTTATATTATTTCAAGTGTTAATGATGAGTAATAATATTTGTTTGTGTACAATATTACTGTTAATGTAATTAACAAATGATAATATAATAAGTTATTTGCATATGATTGTGTTGTGTAGTTGTCTTGCTTAAAACTATAATGTGTGTAGTAGGGACCAATAATTTACAAGAACTATTTGTTATTTCAACATATCATTTGAAGGACCAATATTATCACATTATATCTTTATTTTTGTAGAATACAATTTATTTATTTCTATATATATTATTCTTGATACAATTGTATAGGTATACCTAGGTACTGAACAAGCCCCCTTAAATTTTTGGTGTAGTATTAAAATCACCATTGGATTTGTCAGCTAGGCTACTAAATATCCTTTATTATTTATCCTTTGTTGTTTATTTTGTAAACTATCTTCTAATGGACTAACTAATGTTGTACCAAATAATTAGTAGATATTACCTTCAAACACATTTAATTAGAGAAAGATGTTTTGTATGTGCAAAATAACTTTTGATTTAATTTAAATACTGTCATTGTTGAAACGATTTTCATTGTTATGTCCTTGTGATAAAGTTGAAAATCAATTTTGGAAACTATCTAGTATTGTTAGCATCTGTATTTTTCTTTTTAACTTTTTTGCTTAAAATCAATGTCTAAAGCAAGTCTTGAAATCTAATAAATGATAAAAATATTCTTTAACTGTCAGCCTAATGAATGAAATTAATACTTACACCACCTAATACTACTATTTATAGAATTTTAATTGTATCTTGATTCTAAATATGGACATTCTAGACATTATATTTTGTTCTCAACATTTTATTGTTTAATAAGTATTCAGTAGAAGTGAAAACAATGATTTTGTGTACAACACAATATTACTCACAGTAAGTAGCATGACCGTCTAATTATAGTTATGAAAAGTGAAACTATTTTAGAGAACCTACTTATTATATTTAATGCCACATAATTAACTAGCTAGGTAACTCCCACAAAATATTTGTATAACAATAATTAGTAAAAAGTATCTATTTTGAATTTTTAAAACAATTAACTTTTAGTAGTCTGTGGAATGTAATAACAAAATGACATTTGAATATTGTTTTTGAGACATTCAATAGATTGTATATCGAGGCTACATGTTTTATGCCTATATGTAATTTGTATTGATATTTTGCTTGGCCTCATGCCAAAATGTAATATGGAATCGGTAGCTCTAGTCAGAATTAAGTATTCATTCATTTCTATAAATCTTTTCTATCTTATTCATAAACGACAACTGGAGTCGTATACCTACACTATGGCCCCATTTCTCCTAGAACTCTAAGACTGGCTTGTCTAGAACCACTAGGGTGACCATGGTACACTTCCAAATGTTGATTTATTCATGTAAAGTTTGTAATGTGGCCACAACTTGTCATAAAGTTGCCATAACAACTAATGATTAGATTAGTAACAGTTCTTTTAGTTTTATTGCCAACTGGATAATTAAATAAGCACTCAACTTTTTCTTTTATTGTTTGTAGGTACTTGAATTAGTGATTTCAACCGAATTATGGGCTTTCACTAGTGTTTCATTGTAGATGAACTGTATTTAATGGTACCTAATCTTGCAACAACTGTTTCTTACATGAAAATATTTTCACATTTTCAGGTGTATAATTCGCCATCAGCCTATCACTTTATAGTATAAAACAAAATAGTTTTCTCTGCCCTGTATAAAACAAAATTGCAGCTTTGATATGATAGTAAATTCGGGGCGGGTCGCTAGTAGTTAAGTAAACCTCAACTTCAAAAAATTGAATTCTGATATGAATATCTTCTTAGTAATAAAAATTTCTCTCAAGCTATTTGGCAGTGCGACGCTGCATTCTCTACTGGCTAGGCTGGTAATAGTAGGGGGAGGGGGGACGATACGACGGTGATTTTATCTAAAATATGGCGACTAGACGGCCGTTACCCCACGGTGACGCTGTTCCAGATGCCTTTAATTACGCTACGGATTGCGGTTGGGGGGGTGAAGCGGTGTATTTAAAGCGCATGCGCGGACCACTCGCCGCGCAGCGTCATCGGCGCGTGCGTCACTTCTAAACGCGAATAGAAAACTGGTGACCCTCGGATTGGATGACGCCACCCGCTATGCGTGACGGACGGCTCACGTTACTCGATTGTAGTGAAAGTGTCGTGACATATTCCTGGGATGTCTTACGGGAGCGTTGACGAATGTTACGTAGCCGTATCGCTCTACATAATCAGTGTGCCTAACCCAAGACATAACAATCTATTTGACACGCTAAATGCCACTTCCTAAATCTTAAAAGACTACAAGTGGTGAGAAAGTCTAAAATAACCTCATCCGCCAAATCATATGTCTATGAAAATCAAAACAGTGCCAAGAGTGCAACGAAATACAGTCAGAAAAATTTAATCCAAAAGTATTCCTTAAGACTTTATGACCCGTCCGATTCCAAAGCACGCTCCCATTTAGTTTTATTACCTCAAACTATCGTTCAAGATAAAGCGTCCTTGGTGGAAACTCTTAAATGGACAAAAATATATGAGGGTACCTAACAGAGTGTACGAATACGATGTACTTGTAGGTACCCTCCATCAGATCCGAGTATGACAAATGACGTCTTTGGAGACCGTAAAAACTGTATTTCCGAATTTTATCATT